CTATCTTACTCTGCGACAGAACTCTAAAATCGATTCATATTATCTCGATGGTAGTAATCTATAACTGTGCGTTTTACAAGGTATTTATTGTTAGACGCACTCACATTGTTACTATACTATTTTTAAAGTCTAGCAACGCATTTCCAATTATCCCTGTTATGTTTGTGGCGGCGGTGATCAATCACCATTAAGAGAGTCGTATTCCCGTTTGCCTCATCTATACTAAACGTTAATCTTGCCGTAAATCACAAAATATCTACTTTGCCATGATATTATGAGGTAAATTTCAGGCTGAATTTGAATGACATGGTGAGAAATTGTGTGATAAGAGAAGTGTGTTTTGCAAGGTGATGTTGTGACCAGAATTAAGAAAGGAATGCTGGGTTGGTTTGATGATGTAGAAATAATGAATGAGGAAAGAGTGACAAAGAAAATTCATGTTGCAGAAGTGAATGGCGGAGTCGGAAAGGGACGTCCTAGGTGAAAATTTATCGACCAAATTAACGATTTATTGAAAATGGGTCAAATTAGGAGTACCGTTAACCGACGAGCATGTATGCGTAGGAATATGGACGTGAAGGAGGCGAGAGAGGTGTGTCAGGATCGTGCCAAATGGAAGTCTGTAGTCTCTGCCAACCCATCTGGGTGACAGGCGTGAGAGTTTATGTATGTATGTATTATGAGATAAATAGTTGACCAGGATAATCAAAAAAAAATTCTAAAAAGCCACTAAAAGTATTTATCGTATTTATATTAATATCTCAAAACATATTTGCTTTAGTTTTGTGTTTTTTTTAGATTAAAATATTGAGGTAAAGGTGGAAGAATGAGACAACGAAACATTCGTATGATGATCTTGTATTTTAATAATGTTCACGGAATGTGGCACACGTCGCGAACGCTGTAGAATAAGATGAATGAATAATGTCAGGTTCTCATTTGAATTACTGAATGCATTATTCGAGATATGAGGGTATTTTACGTTTTAAATTAACATTTTGTCGATGTTTATTTAGATTACATTTATTAATTCGTGTGTTTATTGTTATGAACTTTTTCTTCGATTGATTTAAATCCTAGCAAATTGGCAATTTTTTGCAGCTTTATAAATATAATATGATTTATTTTAGTTTTCTAAACTACGCCACTAATGCAATTCAAATCTTAATATATAAATTACGTGTCACGTTGTTTGTCCGCGATGGACTGCTAAACTACTTAACCAATTTTAATCAAATTTATACACCGTTTGCAGTTTTGGATTAACTTGAGAGATAGGATAGTTTTTTTTGCCCGTGAGTGACCCACATATTTCTTTTGCTAATTTAAGGTTTTTTAATAGGACATAACAAAGAGTCGTCAAAAAGGGCAGAACAACATCTGCCTGACAAGCTAGTAGTAATATGTTTTTTCTATAGGATAGGGGTTAAACGAGCATACAACTCACCTAATGGTAAGTGATTACCATCGCCCGTGTACAGCTGCAACACCAGGGGGATTGCAGATGAATTTTCGGCCTTTTAAAAAGGAAGAGGCTCTTTTCTTGAAGGTCCCTAAGTCGTATCGGTCCGGAAAAATCTCTGGTGATATTTGAATCCACAAGGATGTTTTGCGAGAAAGAAGACTTCTTTTAAATCGCTTAGTGATGGACCGCCCGTCATCCAGATGGTACGGATGGTATCGCGAGTTTTGTCGCGATGTGCGATCGCGAAACTTTGCGGCTGGAATTAGTCCGAACAATTCCTAAGAACACTCCCCGTGGTAGATGCGATAAAATACGCAAAGAGATGCAACATCTTGTGACGGCTCAATATTATTATTAATAATTAAATTCAATATAAAGAGGCATCAAAAATGGTCTTAAAAATATATATATTAAGCAATAAAATTACATTAATAAGCATAAAGTTAATATAAATAGATTTCAGACATTAGACAAACATTTTAATAAATTTAAGGCAAAATATTGTCTTTCAGAATAAATAAATTTATTCAAAAACTTGTAAAAAATATTGAAAATATGATAAATAATAGAAATACAAGTTAAAAATATTATAAAAATAAAGATAAATAACATCTATAAGATAATTAGAAAATTTGTTAAAAATTGTCTAAGTCATGGAAGGAGTTCATGTATAAAAAAAAATTCATAAGTTGTGGTAGGTGTTCATGTATAGATGTCTTGTATAGAGGAGCTGCCGGAGATAATACCTGCAGTTGTACATATATATGGGGTGGTCGGGAGCCCGACATCTTGAAGTACTGTAGCACAATGACTAGTCCTATATTAGGGACTTATGATAATAAACTGAATGATACAAAAAAGTGGTAGAGCCACGCGGCAGCTTGCACGTATGGGCCGGCTCAAACCGGTGTGGTACCACGACCTCACAGAATACCGGCGTGAAGTGGAAGCTCTGCTTCCGCGTTTCGCCTGGTGAGTGCAGGTGGCCAGAGGCCCAAATCCCCCCCCCCATCAACATGGTAGTGGAATTAAATGATGATAGATTACCCCAGAATGGTACCAGCACCGCAGGAGAATCCCTCGCTGAGCATCCACGATCATGTTTCTCCACTTCTGAGCGTGGGTGCTCAGGCTGCCCCGCGTATTCTGCGTAAAATTTCGCTCAAGACTACAACTGATCGGGGCAAACGGAGCAACAAGACCAAGGCGCCCCCTGCCACGCTGTCCGTGAACTTCTGCGATATCAGAGGACTTCACTCTAACCTAAACGCCGTCCACTACCATCTAGAGACGGCCAGGCCGGCTCTGCTCTTTCTGACCGAGACGCAGGTGTCCTCTCCGGCTGATGTCTCGTATCTCTCCTACCCGGGGTACAAACTGGAACATTCCTTTGTGCCTCGGGCTGGATTTTGCGTTTACGTTAGAGAGGACATCTGTTCTCGACGCCTCGGCAGACTTGAAGGTTCGGACCTGTCCATCCTTTGGCTACACGTAGACAGCGACGACCATCCGCACGTGTGCGGGTACCTCTATAGGTCACATAGCAGTAATGCCGAAACAGACCGACTCTTCGAACACTTCCAAATGGCTACAGATTCGTTGCTACAGCAGATCCCCTCCGCAGAGATCGTGATCCTCGGCGACTTTAAAGCCCATCACGCCGCATGGCTTGGTTCACGTTTGACCGATCATGCAGGGGAGATCTGTTCATGATTTTGCCTTGGCATATGGTCTGACACAACTGGTTACTTACGCCTACGCGGATTCCAGATGTGGATGATCATGCACCTTCCCTGTTGGACCTTCTGCTGACCTCTCACCCGGACAGATATCAGATTTGACATCCTCGGACCATTGTCTTGTCCGGAGTGTGGTGCCACTCACGCTGAAATGGCAGTTGCAATCTGCAGGCTGCCGCCGTGTTTGGCACTATAGGTCAGCCGATTGGGATGGGATGCGGTCTTTCTTAGCATCCTATTCTTGGGAGCAGGTTTGCTTCTCGCCGGACGATCCCAACGTTGTTGCAGATTCTGTCGCTGATGTGGTACTTCAGGGTAAGGAACTTTTTATTTCTTCCTCTGTGGTGCGCATTGGAGGCAAATCTCAGCCATGGTTTGGTCGCTCCTGTAAAATAGCATCATGCTATAAGCAGGAGTGGTACAAAGCCTGGGCTGACGCATCAAAGTCCCGGGATGTAAACACCAGCGCTCTAAAAAAGAAGTATTATTCCGCCTCTAGGTCCATCAAAAGAGTCATTGCCAAGGCAAAGTCAGAGCACATAGGCAGAATTGGCCAGAAACTAGTCCGCCTTCGTTCTGGAACCCGTGCATTTTGGTCTCTCGCCAAGGCTGTTCAGGGGAATTTCTGTCAGCATCTCTTCCATCTCTGCACAGGGAGGACGACTCACTGGCCCTTACCGCAAAGGAGAAGGAGAAGGGAAAGATACGAGACATCAGCCGGAGAGGACATCTGAGTCCTCTCCGGCTGATGTCTCGTATCTTTCCTACCCGGGGTACAAACTAGAACACTCCTTTGTGCCTCGGGCTGGAGTTTGCGCTTACGTCACAGAGGACATCTGTTCTCGACGCCTCGGCAGTCTTGAAGGTTCGGACCTGTCCATCCTTTGGCTACGCGTAGACAGCGACGACTATCCGCACGTCTAGGGGTACCCATATAAGTCACATAGCTGTAATGCCGAAACAGACCGACTCTTCGACCACTTCCAAATGGCTACAGATTCGTTGCTACAGCAGATCTCCTCCGCAGAGATCGTGATCATCGGCGACTTTAAAGCCCATCACGCCGAATGGCTTGGTTCACGTTTGACCGATCATGCAGGGAGAACTGTTCATGATTTTGCCTAGGCATATGGTCTGAAACAACTGGTTACTTCACGCACGCGGATTCCAGATGTGGATGATTATGCACCTTCTCTGTTGGACCTTCTGCTGACCTCTCACCCGGACGGATATCAGATTTCTCGGATCAATGTCTTGCCCGGAGTTTGGTGCTATTCACGCTGAAATGGCAGTTGCATTCTGCAGGCTGCCGCCGTGTTTGGCACTATAGGTCAGCCGATTGGTATGGGATGCGGTCTTTCTTTGCATCCTATTCTTGGTAGCAGGTTTGCTTCTCGCCGGACGATCCCAACGTTGTTGCAGATTCTGTCGCTGATGTGGTACTTCAGGGTATGGAACTTTTTATTCCTTCCTCTGTGGTGCCCATTGGAGGCAAAACTCAACCATGGTTTGGTCACTCCTGTAAAATAGCATCATGCTATAAGCAGGAGTGGTACCAAGCCTGGGCTGACGCATTAAAGTCCCGGGATATAAATACCAGCGCTCTAAAAAAGAAGTATTATTCCGCCTCTAGGTCCATCAAAAGAGTCATTGCCAAGGCAAAGTCAGAGCACATAGGCAGAATTGGCCAGAAACTAGTTCGCCTTCCTTCTGGAACCCGTGCGTTCTGGTCTCTCGCCAAGGCTGTTCAGGGGAATTTTTGTCAGATCTCTTCCATCTCTGCACAGGGAGGACGACTCATTGGCCCATACCGCAAAGGAGAAAGCCGATCTGCTAGGCTCTTTCTTTGCATCCAACTCGACTCTCGATGACGGGGGGAGTACTCCGCGGACCATTCCGCGGTGTGAGTGCTCCATGTCGGAAGTGCAGTTTACACTCCTCTCCCTGGATCCACAAGTCGAGTGGGCCTGACGAAATACCACCAATTGTGCTGAGGGCGTGTGCTCCATAGTTGGCACCGGTTTTAACGCGTCTTTTCCGGTACTTCTACTCCCTAGGCATAGTGCTAAAATCATGGAAGATGGCTTTCGTCTACCCGATCCCTCAACAAAAAAAACACCACAAAAGGCGACCGCTCAGACCCGTCCAACTGCCGGCCTATAGCCATCACCTTGTTCTCCAAAACAATGGAGTCCATTGTAAACTGCCAGCTCATGAGTTTCCTTGAGGATCACAAGCTAATTAGTGATCGCTAATACGGTTTTCGCCGTGGTTGGTCACATGGTGATCTTCTGGTCTACCTAACTCACAGGTGGGCGGAGGCAGGTCATTGCGAAGGCCTTCGATCGGGTTTGGCACAAAGCGCTTCTTTCGAAGCTCCCTTCCTATGGGCTTCCCGAGAAATTGTGCGATTGGATCACCAGATTCCGTGCAGATCAGAGCATCAAGGTCGTTGTAGACGGTGCAAGCCCCGATTGCAAGCCTATTAATGCTGATGTTCCACCAGGCTGTGTGCTATCGCCAACACTGTTTCTTCTGTATATCAATGATATGTTGCAAACCCGTAACATTCTTTGCTATGCAGATGACAGCACTGGTGCTGCTCTGTACACCAGCCGTTCTAATATTTCTCATGAAAACGTCTCCGAGTACCGGGACAAACTTGTATCTGAAGTCGAGTCTTTGCTGAACAGAGTCTCAGATTGGGGGTGACTAAATCTAGTTCAGTTTAACCCCCAGAAGACACAAGTTAAGTAAAGAGTCGATTTCTTTACACATGCAATGTGGTTCGTTGTGCTGAACATATAATAAATAGTAATAATAATAATAATGTCCTCCAGACCGAATTTCGACCACGGCGGCCTGCCTCTACGGAGACTGGCCATCGGCTTAGGACAGGATTATAGCGCTCAAGGGTATGCACAAGCACAGGTGCACTCTCTATTCCCTCATTCTTATAATCCGATGGGATGGTAAACTGACACGACCAGAAAGATCAGGCGCAGGACCAACGGCTTTTCATGCTTTCGGCTTTTCGTGCGTGTGTTGGGGTGAGACACCGCTAATGATTCCAGGCTGCTACTGGGAATTTCTTGAAAGAAAAACACAATAAATGATTTTGACCCAACCTGGAGTTTCGAACCTAGGACTTCATGATCAGCCAACACGTTTTCGACCACTAGACCAATGAAGCAGTCAGCCAACGATCAACATCCAATGCCAGGCCACCAGCCAAGCAAGGTCTTGCCCATTAAAACTAAGAACTTTACTGTCGTTATTAATTAAACTAATTTCAAATTATTTTATAGCGCAACTTTAGCAATATACTATCTCTGAACAGATTTGGGTGACTTAGTATCTGGAACTTTTGTATGTAACGGTTGGATTTAATGGGGCAAATATTATGAAGTTGTACGCAGACATCTAAAATGAATCTTGAAGTAACGATTAAGTAAAATAATATTTTCTCTAGAAGATTTCTGCTGGTGTCGCTTACTTTTGCTTTGGTGATACCTACTCACGTGGTCAACCGTGCCAATTCAAGTTTACAGCCGATGTTATCATGAAAGGCGTTTTGCGATCACTATCATCGTTACATAACTACAGCAGCACAATACTATATACCGTATGTACTAATAGACCGTTATCCGCTTGCCATTCAAAATGGTTTCAATATATTTAAAAATAATACTATACTAGCTCTCTTATACCGTTTATGTTAAAATCTAAAAGGTATAGAGATCCAGAATAGTTAAAGTAAATAGACTGCAGTAGCCACTTACCAGACGAACTTTAATTTCGTTTATCACTGAGTTGCACTAGCTGAAAGCTGTAACAGAAAATTATATATTGAAGAAAGATGATGAATACACTCCAGTACATTCATCATCCTTCTTCCTATTCATCCTTCATTGTAACATAATAAAATCGGAGAATACAGTTTAATTACACCACTCTATAACTAAAAGATATATGTTGAATGAGGGAATATACGTTGAGTGAGGAAATATTGTGAGGAAGTCTGATACCTGAGGAATAAAATATTACGTTGCCATGTGGAGTCCAGTAACACATACGGGAGCAGCGCGTTACAATCAAATCACAGTGGTTCTGAGATTCCCCGATTTCCATCCACGGCTAAATATACAGCAAATACTTAAAAGACATTCATCGTATTCATCATCATTACAGCCCATCACAAGTCCACTGCTGAACATAGGGCTTCCACAAGGAACGCAACAAAGCACGGAACCGTACCAGGTCATTACTCCATCTAGTAGGGGGCCACCCTACACCTCACCTACCGGTAAGAGGCTGCCACTCGAGAAACTTTTTTTCCCATCGGTTGTTGATTCTTTGAGCTATATGACCGGACCATTCCCACTACAGCTTACTGTTGAGCTATGTCAGTATCTCTAGTTTTACTGCGGATGTCCTCATGTTTAAGCCTATCATGTAGAGAAACCCCGATCGTAGCCCTCTCCATAGCTTGCTAAACGACCTCGAGTTTCCTCATGTGGCAGTCAGTGAAGAATCTTATCTCAGACCATAAGTCATCGCTATAAATAGTGAAAAATCATTTAATGCTATAAGATAGCACTCGTTTTCTTATTTTTTTAACTTAAAAACTGATGAACCGCAAAACTTTATTTAAAAGTGATTGTGCGAGACGCAATTTAATTAAAAGTTACTCTCAGCATACAAGTGAAATAATGACTTGAAATAACGTGTAGATTATAAAACAAATAGTACTATTTGTTTTTATTTTTCGGATTCAACTACTTGTTTAACATCTGTGCGTGAAATTGTAAAGTTAGTTTTGGAGCTAAGTTAGATTAGTTTCAGATAGTTTTATAAAGTTTTGCGGTTATCAGTTTTTAAATTAAAAAGTAAGAAAACGAGTGCAGAAGATAGCTTTAAACGATTTTTCATTATTTACAGCGTATTATATATATTACACTTTTTTAACAATTC